TTTAACTAACTTTACAATCGTCAATATAATTAAATAATATAAATCAATATTCTTACATATTATCAAATTCAATTCACTATTTATCCACTCACATAATTTTAATTGACCATCATCATCTTATACTTTTCCATCAAACAGATTTCATACTTTTACATCAAACAAAACTTTAATTATTTTATTTTAAATAATATTTTAATATAAACTCAAAATTTTAATAACTGACTATTCAAATTTTTTTTTATCAAAATCTCTCTCGATATATTAATTCATGTTGAGTCTAAGTGGAACACTCTCACGCTTCAGATGCTGACATGCATGGGAAAAAATTATGCTTTGTAATGGCGTTTTTATATTTTTTTTTCTCTAGAGTTAAGTTTGGTATTAGACATAAATAATTTTTTTCAAAATTGGTACGTGTGTATTTAAATTTGTAATTGTTTTCTCATAATTCATCTCTCATTTAGTGAATGTCCTCCAAACAATTATTACTCCTCTCCAAGCCAATGTCTACGCGTCCCTTTTTGACCAAATATAATTATAATTTTTTATTTATTTTTTTTTTTTTCAAAATTCATTCCAACTTCAAAGACAGTTACAATATACACCTCTTGGGTTTACATAATTTACCAAGAAGAGACTACAGAATTCCCAAAAAGGGAAACAAAACGCACAAAACCAAAAGCTCAAACAAAATAAACCAAAAGCAGCCCCACCCTCATGCCTAACCCACAAAAAAAAAAAAATAATAATAATAATAAAAATAATAATCAATAAAAAAAAAATTAGCAAACACAACTAGCAGACAAATAGTTATGCCCCAAAATTTTTCTTTTTGGGCCAACATTATTTTCTTGAGCATCTTTTTTATTCATGCTTTGCGTCCATGAAATTCTTTTATGTGTCGAAAATAAATATGAAATAATCAAAATAAATAAATTCATCCAAACAACTAATATGTCAAAAAATATAAACGTGCGAATAAACTAAAAGTATAAAAATACACAATTAAATATACAAAACATGTACATTCTTCGACCAATCAATGGACTTAGGCTCCACTAATTTAGGTTCAATCCAACTTGACTTGCTTAATACATTCTAATTCTAACACTAATCGAGTTGTTAGCGAACACGCTAGGCTAGACCCATGTAATGGATGATGAGCTTTATTAGATGTTCGAATTCATCTCTGCGAACTAGTCGAAACTTGAGATTTCACAAATTCAATCAAGCTATTTTTACGAAAAACTCAATCCGAATAACATCTATATACACAACGTTAACAACTTAAGGTATACAAATAATCCTAGTAACACTTCCCAGGCTAATTAATGCCGATAAAGAAGCTGATGCTATTTTTCTTTGGTTGGGTATTGCACATACACTCAGTTTCCATATTTACTGATAAAGAAGCTGGTGCTATTTTGCTTTACAAGTCTATAAGGCTCATTGCAGGTACACTCAGTCTCCACAAAGAAGCTGATGCAAATCGAGCTATTTTGCTTTACAAGTCAGAAATGTGTGTCTGCGTGGTCCAAACTATATTATACGAGTCCGATTGGTCATAATAGAGTACAATTGTTACACAACAACAACAACAACAACAACAACAATGAGACATACATACATACATATATACATACATACATACATACCCAACAAGAGGAAGAGTAGTAGCAATGTATGGGTGTTCAAAGTTTTGATCGATTGGGCCGTATAATTCTAGATTAAGCGTTGTAGTATTATTACTTGTGTCAATAACAACATCATATACATCAACATCATCAACATCAACATACCCAGTATATTTCTAATAGGTTGGGGTTTGGGGGTTCAGTTGTACGCAGACCTTACCCTTGTAATTATACAAAGAGGATGTTTCCATAGCGACTCAAAGTGCGTTGCGTCATTTGATATATCTTTTTCTAGAAACTTCACTAATAGAAGAAGCACTAGAATTTAATTGTGCCATTTTAAATTTTTGATATAGTCCATTATTAGCACTATGCCAGGAGAATTGTCAACAATAACTCTTGCAGCTCCATATGCAATGGACAAGTCAATAACAACATGCATTTTCACATGATCAAATACTAATTAAAATACAACACCAATAACTCAATTAATAATAATATATATGATGATCAATAACAACATCATATATAGTATAATTAATTGTGTTATTGGGGTTGTATTTTAAATTTTTAATTAGTATTTTATCATGTGAAAATGCACAATACAAATAAAATTTATATGTTATGTGTGTAGTGTTTAAAATAATAAGTTAGATAATGAGCTATCACATTTTAATATTATTATTAGTAAAAATGAACGATATAAATATAAGTTATTTAACTTACATATTAATCTTTATATTGATTGCAATGGCAACTTTTGCAAGACATGAGGGTCGACCGTGCCGCCCTTTCTCTTGGCCGAAATAGGTGATCCAGACGCGTCATCCAAAGAGGTTGTAGGTGGTGTTTTGGTTGAAGATAACTTGGTTTAGGGTATATGACTAGTTATAGGGAGAGGTTCAGAGGTAATTCTTGATTACCGCTCTCCTTCTAGTGTCTTATTTTGTTGACGTTCGAGTATCAACCTTATTTAATTATGAATAATAGGGTGGTTTAATCGTGAGTTCTACGGAAATTATAACGGTATAGAATAACTGTTATATATGCCTTGAAATTAATGCTGAGTGTTAGAGTATCACTTGTGAGTTGTCCCACATCGTTCATACATAGAAAATAAACCCACCTTATAAGTCTAATGAGCTACTTCTCCTTCCACCAATTGGTTTTGGGATGGAACCCCACATGGTCTTCATCTGGGCTTTTTCTTCTCATGGTACGCTTCATGTTAGTGGGACCGCACCCGTATCAGAGCCGTCTACTTCTAGCAGGTATGTGGGCTTGAGCTTTCTTATTAAGGACTCACAAGTAAGGTACATGGAAAATAGACCTACCTTATAAGTCTAATAAGCATCCGTTTTTTCCCTAATTTCTTTCACTAAGCATATATGGGCAAAGATATGGAACAATAGAGAGATCGTCGATCTATGTCGAGGATCGACAAACAATATTATTTCCATATATATTTTGCGAAATAATTAGTGTGTGTTTTCATGGCCTCAAAAACCGAATTTATATACAGAAAAAATAAAAACTATTATGACTTAGGGGACAACTATATAAGTTACATGCGTCCCCATGCAGTCTCGACTTTTGATGATGGAATTGGTTGGACGGTTACTTTATCAGTTTGCTTTGCCGGTTCCTGTTCATATGCAAAGGAATCGTCATTCTTCGAGAGGAATAAATGAAAATTAGTGTTCTAGAAGTTGCTAGGCGCTCACCTAACGCCTAGACGGGGACTAGGCGGCGGCTAGAAATTATGAATAAATACCTTTTTATTTATTTTCCCGTTCGACAAAAATGATCTCTACTTAGAATAAATCTACCTAAGTCCAAATAATATATTAATGTACTATAAAAAAACATGATAACAAAATAACAAACCTAGTTTTTAAAAAAAAAAAATAAAAAGAAGAGAAAATTTCTCTCGAGCCCCGTAGGCGCTGCCCAACAGCCTGGCAGCCGATCTAGCATGGGCACACCCCAGCTACCTGACGATTTTTTTTAGCTGATTCATTCAAATCGGAGGCGGCGACCTAGACCCATGTTTAGTACAGTGATGGAAATAGATCGACATCCTGGCATAGATGTGGATCAGGGAGAGATCGACATCTTGGCGTGAATGTGGATCGACATAGCTTTAGTAACAGGTTCTTAGGTTGTTCTTTTTCATAAAGCTTAAGCCCAATATTCAACAGGCCCAATTTTTGTTCTAACTTAATGGGCCGGCCTACAGTAGATGTAATTAATTTCTTATGTATAACATCGATGAATTGATATTTTCATTTAGATTGTTGTAAGAATGAAGTTGTTTTGATCTTTAAATCTTAACATATAGATAATGAACCTATATAGTATGAGCGCTCGACGTTAGGATTATTTTCTTCGATTCGATTCGTTGTTCGAATTAGATATTTATGATTTCAATTCATAAAACTTGAATTCGAATTCAAGTAAGAAAATATTTTAGTATTCAGAAGTTATACAAATCCGAATACGAATAGCACATATTCGAATCAAAATTATCGAATATTTAATTCTTTAACAATAGTTATACAAAATTTAATATATTATAGAATATAAAATTTTATTCATATATTTAATATAAATATAAAATAAAAGAATATATTTATATTTATAAACATTTTCATATAAATATATTTATGTATTATAAATATATTTATGTATTTAATATATTTATGTATTAATATATTTATAATAATTCACATCTAATTGAATTGAATGCGAATTACAAATTGAATTCGATAACGAATCACATATATATACAAACTGTCAATTTTTTTTTCATGAATTCAAATCGAATAATTGAGTATTCGATGATCCAAATTAATTTGATTCGATTTGTTGATACACCTACTCAAACGCAATACGATAAAATAACACAGTGATAAAATAACACAGTAAAAGTCAAATAACACACTACACAAAACAAAACTACCAAACCTCGAGATGTGCAGTCAAATGTGCTTATTGCTCATCACACTATAGTACCACACAATTACAAAGTCTTTGGTAGAAGTAAAAATAAAACTTTGCCAAGAAATAATAATTGAAAATAAAAAAAGTAAAATAAAACTACAGAAAACAAAATTACCAAACCTTGAGATGTGCAGTCAAATGTGCTTATTGATAAAAAAAATGATAAAAATCACACTACACTACTGTACTCGTATAACTTTTATCTATGTAACTAATCTTGCTCAACTTTGTAGTATATATAGTCCACTTGCTCTGGGGGAGTCAATCGCCCTTTTCTTTGCTCTTCACTTCGGTACCACTCCAAGATTTAGGCCTAAATTTCTGGGTTGATAATAATAATCTGTTCTCTGCAATCTGAAGAAAATGAATGCTCTTGCTGCCACCAATCGGAATTTTCGCCAGGCGGCTCGCATCCTCGGCCTGGACGCCAAGATTGAGAGGAGCCTTTTGATCCCATTCAGAGAAATTAAGGTTTTTTTTTTTTTTGCCTTTTATGTGATTTATGCTTTGTGGGTACNNCGATTCCCAGAGACGATGGGACGCTGGCCTCGTACGTTGGATTTAGGGTGCAGCATGATAATGCCCGTGGGCCCATGAAAGGAGGGATCAGATACCATCCAGAGGTGTGACATTTGTTTGTACATGACTGTTCATTTCAGTTCGAGCTGGTTCATGGGGTGTTATTGGAAAATTAATCTTTTTCTTATGTTTAGATCAATCATTTGTGTTGTGTTATATCATTTTTGTGGGGTTTGGATTGAGGAAGATGGCTGCTGTACTGAGTCAGAGAGGTGGATTAGGGTCTTTTTTTTATTAAAAAATAAAGTTCAATATGAAGATATGAAATTCAAGATCCATCATATTTCAAACGCTAGCGCGTTAAAATGCGGGAATCAAACAGTTAAACTATCGCAATCTGGCAGCTGTGTAGCAATGAAATTGAGTTTGATTTTAGTTTTAGCGAAAAAAAAAAGAAAGGGAAAAAAAACGAACAAAGAATCGAATGAGTTGCTCGGGGGACTCATGTGTACCCTTTTTGTTTCTTGATTAAATGAGAGGTACTATACTCATTTCCTATGAATTCGATCATTTATGTCTGTAATTCTTTTGACGATGTAAATAAATGTTGTCTAGAATCATGGGCATCCTGCTTCCTTGTCTCCTTTCAATAGTCACAGAAAATCTCCTTGACTGAAATTCTTTGTTTTGATGCTCAATATTTTGTAAAATGGCGAATGTCAATTTGTGATGTTCGAAAGAAACATGCTATTAACTTTGTCCTCTCGTAATCTGGACAAAAGGACAAAGAAAAAGGCGAAATGTATGTTCTTTTTGCAGAACTCCAGATATGCTCTTGTAAAATGGTTGATATATTGGTACCACGCCTTTATCTTTTTTTT